AGCTGGCGTGGATGGTGGCGGACAATCGCTTGGGACAAAAGTACGCCTGTGGAACCCAGCTACTCACAGTAGGCTGGCCGCAGGGCATGCCGCCGGCGGACAGGGTCTACATGATCTCGTGGTTGCTCTCGCAAACCCCGGCTATCCAGGAGTTCCTCAAGTTTCGTGGCAACCTCACCGACCACAACGCACACGAACTGGGAAGGTTCATGCACGCGCTCAGCATCGAACCCACGACGGTCCCTCAAGGTGGAGACTTCTACTCCACCATGACGCTCCTGAGCTTTAAGGCGTTTGACCTTCGGAAAGCTGTGCTGGAAAAGTTTGGGGGGGCAATGGGCTGCCCCTCTACAAGGACGAGGCAACACCGGTTGCGGGCAAGCACATCCGCACAGCCCCGTGTTCTCCCCAATGGCAGCGGAAATTGGAGGCACCTCTACGAGTCGTGTTGAGTTGCGTGAATTCCCACGCAGACCACAACGCAACTTCGAGGCTGGTGATATGGTGGAAGACCCTTACTGTAATGGCTCCGCAGCACGATCAGGAGTTCCACGAAGATATCACAGCCTGGGCTCGAGTTCACTATTTCCAAGAGAACGGGGAATTCAAGGGGCGCCTGGAGATCACGGAGGAGCTCAAGCAGATTCTGATGGCGCCTGCAAACGAGAAGTCCCCGGAGGTGGAGACACTGTGGCAGGAGCACTGGAACAAGACAATGTGGGGAAACCAAATGGAGCTCGACATAGCAGACTCCATGGCCATCTCTGCAGCCAAAGCCCAGGCAGCCACCACTGGAAAAGGATTTCAAGTCGGCAAGGGCCGACGACACTGGTCGAACGTTGCTGTGCACACAAGTGACTACGAGCCGTATCCGTTTGAGTTGCAGTTTGTTGTTGTACAGTCCATTTATTTTTGTTGGGACGAGATGTGCGACAAATTTGGAGCACAGTCCCAAAAGATAGGAGACTACAGCATCTCCACGGTTCAGGGGAAGCCCCCACCGTCGGTCACTGCGGGAACTGCAGCTCCGACCACAACGCAAGCAGCTGCTTCACAAGCCTCCAACATGCCTCCTCCCAGCAAGGTTCCCCCAAAAGCTGGTAGGGGG